TACATTACCTTGACTTCTGTCATAATTTTAGGAGTTGGCAAAAAATAGACAGAGCCTGGAGTCGTCCGCACCGCCGACGAAAGTATCGAAGGTTCATGCAAACGTGAGGCGAGGTTCAAACAAGGCAAAAACCCCGGCCGTATCTCAACCTCCTGTCGCTGTTCCGGCGGTCGTCGTTGAATCTTCGCGCGGTCCCACGGAAAAGGTGTTGCACATAAAGTCTGAAGAACCGGTGAGTTTGTCAGAGCAGACGACGAAGCAGGTGGTCGAGACGCAGTCGCTCAAGGCGGACAAAAACCCCGGTGTAAAGTACGCCCAGCTGAAATCAGGCATGCGCATCCGAGTGCAATACGGCACGGGGTCGCAGAGAAAGTTCTACGAGGCGAAGGTGCTGCGCATCGATCCGCTGAAGCGATGTCTGGTGCACTATGCTGGCTGGAATACTCGCTATGACGAGGTGATCCCATTTTCGCGAATTGTTGCGATCATAAGCGATGCAGGAGGAGCGGACACCTCAAAGAGCCGCACAAACAGTGTCTCCAGCATGTCCCCTGCACCGTCTATTTCAGAGAGCGGAGCTGAGAACGCGTCTACTGGTGAATCATTTTTGTCCAAGGCAACTGTGTCGCCTGTTACATCCACTGCCGATCGCTCTCGACAGTCCTCGGGCGGTTCGACCATCAGTTTACCAGTGATCCATGATAAACCAAGACGTAAACGATCCACATCTAAAGTATCAGATGCCCAAACAAGCGAAACGAAGAAATCGGTTGTCGTTGGTGCTCAGCCGCATGAACGGCCAATTTACGAGAACGAAAAGGTATCGGTTAAACTCGAAGAGCCTGAAGCGGTCCACAGCGCATTGGATGACTCTGAAACACGTCATGTCATCATGCAAATGCTAAAGGATTTGGCAGATAGAACGGACATTGCGATAAAGGCTGAACCGCCTCCCGTAATTGACGATGCCATTAGAGTTGAAGAGGTGCCTCTGGCTATTTTGGTTAAGGAGGAAATCGAGCAGGTGGATGAAGAGGTTAAGGAATCTCGACCACTCGAGTCTATCGAACAGTCAACGGAAATGCTGGAAGAATTAAATGACGAAAGAATACCGTTCCTACAGCTGATGACCACAGTGGTGAAGCAGGAACCCAATGACGAATTCGTAAAACAACATGAAGTGGAAAAAGCAGAACTGACATCGCAACAAGACTTTGTTGACCAAATTAGCGAATCGTCGCCTCCGCTCGTAGAGGAATATCACAGTGTCGACGTCGACAAACTTCCTGCTGACGTTCCGACTTCTGTCTGCAATAACTCCAAGAAGGATTATCACTTTACATCTGAAATCATCAGTGAGTCGCCTTTAAGAGGCATCGATGCAGTGGTAGAGGCGTCAGCGCTAGTGGAGACTGCTGACGCTGAGCCTAACATCGGCTGTTCATTCATCCTCGCTTGTCTTGCAAAGAAAGAGGAGGAGGAAGCCGCTCGACAGCTACACCTTAATCAGGAAGCTGCTAGCTCCGTAATCAGTTCCTTGCTTTCATCGCTGGAGGCAATGGAGCAGGCGGAAAAGACAGAAGACAACGATTATCAGAAACTCCACTCAACGCATCTTGCAGGTAGAACGAAACTCGGCATGCGAAGTAGAAGGCGAAATTACTCATATTGTACGGAACAAAAAAAGCCTAGCAAAATATGCAGATTCGGCGGTGAGTTGATTGCTCAAATATTTTTTGCCCGTTTTTGTAGTTTGTGTAGATTTTCAGATTCGGACAACGAATTGACGACGAGTGGACAATCGCCATTACAACAGTCATTCAAGGATTCAGTGAGCCTACAAACGCTTCGACAGCGAGTTACTCAAATGGTCAGCAGCCCGGACTACAAACCCTACTATACGTTCAACGTGATAGGTGAGCAGTCATTTCCTCTGTGCGGTGTAGCTGTGTATAGAACTGTAGACAGCCGTCGTCTTGATAGTCGCGGTTATCATTCTCTCCATAGTCATTTGTCATTTTGTTCATTGTCGTCAGTAGCCGTATATAGTAAAACCCTTACTTTGTGAATCGGCGTGTTATGCTTCGTCTTATTCAAAATTATTATTTTCACTAAAATGGGGGTTCAGCTAATTTGCATCATGAAATTGCTTTCCTTTCATAAAACTTACCAGATCATTCATATATGTAGCCTATTTTATTTCAGACTATTTGTTAAAAAAAAAAGTTATTGATTTTGTTGCAAAAGTCTAGTTCAGAATTGCGGAAATCCTTTGCGGTGTGGCTCCACGTAGTAGCTTTGGCAAATATGTTATGTGCACAATTTCCACTTTTGCGAATCATGCTTCAGTAGGTGAAATAAACTTCAGCTCAGTTACGCTAAAATTTAACGTACACTCTATGGCATTCACATTATGCAGATACGTGCGTCCGTTGTTTCTTTTTTCTTCATTAACATCAGCATCACGGTTAGTTTCAAAATTAGTCGAACGTTGAAATCAGCAGTCCTCATCAACCTGTGTCAATTCACTTCTGGATGAAGGCATCTCAAAAACTTCGAAATAGACTTATGTTTTCTGCCTTTTTCATCTATCTGAATCTCGCAACCTGAACTTTTTCAGCTCCTGCTGCATTGATCTGGAGGTTCTCTTACCTTTTCTTGTTATTAGCATTGTGTGTTTTTCCATGTCGCATTGTGTAATCTGCCGTGTATGAATAGCTTTCAGTCTTAAGGCTTGTGTTTGTCTCACAGATTATACATAACCGGGAGCACACAGTGAAAGAATACTTTCAGTTTCAAGCGCAAGGGCAGTTTTTTGTTTATTTTTATTCATTTGTTGATTTGCACACAGTCGGTTCTCCGTAGTAGCCATAAGTTGTTCCAGATTTACGAAGTTTTGTATTTCTTCAAGCCTAAATTTTTTGACTTAAGCGATCACGTGTTAATTGAGCATTTAAACTTGATCTGAATATGCTTCTTGTTCATTTTCAGTCCAGCTTTGATGTTGGCGCTGTTCAGCTTTCGGATTCTTCTCTCGAGTTCTTTTGGTTTCCTTTACGGAATGAAAATATTGTTTATCCCCTGGTTTTTTAAACGATTGCCTTCAAAACCTCTTCCCGTGCTATTGTGACTAACTTCACCACTCTGTCAGGCAAATTTTTCGATTTTGAATTGTTTGGCAATTCAGTGAGACTTACTAGTATACCAGCCGTTGCATTCTTGTAAATTATGGCAGTAGGATTTCTACGTCTTTTTTCCATTCCCCATGTTCTGTCTCAAGGCTTCCGATTCAGGACGGGCGTTGACCCAACTGGTGCCATTTCGAAATCGACAAATTCTTAGCAGAGAAGAAGCTGATATATGCTGCTTGTGTGATTTACTTCTTGTGCCTCCCGGAGATGATCATAGTTTTTAATCCACTTTTAAATCCTGCTTATTCGTTAACATTTGCAAAGTTCGGTTTTTCCTAACAGTCTGTTCGTCGGCACCTTCCTGGATCTTGTGAATGACAACAGACTATTGGCCCGTAATTCTTCA